CTTTCATTTTACTCCCGACCAACAATCAAATATCTTTTCTTGAATGGATTCAAATATTTAATTAAATTATCTCAAAATAAACCTTCATTTCGGCGCAATATTGAAATTAGCTTGAATTCTTCATAACCTCTGAATAGTGGGTGACCCAACGGGTCACGGGTGGTGTAGTAAAACTCTAAAAAGAAGGCAGAACGTTTGGCATTTTCCACACTTCTACTTGTCTGCAACGTTATAAAGATTTGTATGTTAGCTAGAAAAGCGAAAGAAAGTTCTAAAATTCTAAAAAGAAGGCAGAATGCATTTTTACTTTTGTTGCTTTTAAACAGTGCTGTAAGTATTTTGTCTTAGTTTGGAATGCGGAAAAAATACGTCTGCCTTGAGTTGGACAAATCAGAGCAATAAATTTAGTATTATTGTTACCTCTTAGTTCTTCCATTCATTACTCCGATTAGTGACCACTGAAACTGGTACTTTTATATATTATTGTTACCTCTTAGTACTTCCATTCATTACTCCGATTAGTGACCACTGAAACTGGTAATTTTATACAATTAGTCATTAATTACGTCTTCAATATTCTCGGAACTTTTAAAGTGTTTTTTTGTATATCTTTTTTAGGTTCACACTGACATATAGAAGCTACACTTTCAATAAATATATATAGCTTATAGTTACGTCCATCTCAGGAATAAGCAACTTTCTTCTATATGAAAGACTTATTTCTTAATGTACAGAAATTTTGTTGAGCTTTATTTTTATTTTGTTGCTAAAACTGAAAAGCACAAAGTTTAGCTTATAGTAGACCAGCTGTGATTTCTTTAGACTTGGGACGACCCTGTTTGTTAAAAGCAGACATTCGTCCTAGATCAATCACTCATAGGACAAGTAAAAAAAGAACAAACTTCTAAGTGGATTCTATCCTCGATTTTGACATGAAAAACCATTTTTAAGATCACAAAGGTTAAGAGGGTCAAAATGTAAATATTTGTTAAATTTAGTATGAATTGACATTTATTTTCTTATATCTCTTAGAAAAACTAACTTTATCATTACGTGCCATCAATAGTTGAATTTTGAATTTACAGTACGAACGCATAACACAAATGAAAACAAAAGCATTGTTATACAAGTTGAACTGTTCTAAACCTTTGCAACGCACTTGTACAGCTTTCTGTGTGCCTTTGTTCTTTACATTGTAATTCCTGTGTTAGAATTTTATCTTAGAGTCCATGTATGGAGGTCTATTAGCCAACTGGATAATAGTATGAAAGTCGTCTATTGGCCGACTAGGTAACGGTAACAGTATGGAGGCCTTGGGCTTGCTAGATTGTATCTGCCAGTCTCATCTCAGCTGCAATCAGAGATGTCACTTCAATCCATTCCTGAAACAGGTGCATCTAGCTGTGTTGCATTTTTATTTGCATCCTCAGGTCATTAGTTCTTAACAGGCATCTCGGACAGTGGACAGTTTTGTCCAGATAAGTTGTAAGTAAGCTATCTCTCTTCCAGGCAGAGATGTCGGCAGGAATGCCTGTATCCATATCTTTGTTTGGCAATTGGCACGTGCAATTTAAATTTCCAAGACATTTCCTGTTAAGGATGACATCTTCAGACCCTTATTGGCCTTGGAAAAGAGCTGGAAATATTATTTGTTGGTGTTTCAGAAGGACTGACCAGGTAACACACAAACCTTCCAACTTCAGTGAAAGCTCCTTTATGGGAAATTCAGCTGACAAGGAGGAGTTGTTTCTAGGAAGCTTTCCATCATGACATTTTCCAAAGATCACAGAAGGATGAAGTTGTGCCATAGTCCGTTAGTGCACGAAAGCGAAATAGGTTTCAATCATTCTGAGAGGTGGAATAAGCCATTTTTAATATTCATTGTCAGGATACAAACTGACTGCTGAAGCTGGCATATTTTCACTCCCCATATATATTGGCAAGATACATACTGACTATAGAAGTAACTTGGAGTTGGACCAAGTCTTAACTATAGTGCAAGAACTGACAGTCGGCCGCTGTGAATAAATTCTAGAATTGATACACCGTACATCATAGTGTTTTATTCAATCAATTGCACAAATGAGCACCAAAAGTTTGACAAAAAAATCTCTGATCGTTCTATTCACTTGTGATACTTGAATGTTTACAATTTCATCCTTGTTTCGTTATCCGTAAAGGTTCTACACGGATACAGCATACATACAACTGAAGTGTGCTAGGTGTGTCGTTCTTGAAGATCGAAAGCAGAAAAAGGTGGGTATTGTAAAAAGAAACATGGTAATAGACCCCCATACGTGGACACAAAGATACAATTCAAACATATTGTCATTGAAGAACATACAAAAAGCTATACCGGCGCGTTTGAAATATTTGAAATAACTCGTTTTTGTCTTCAACTGTGCTATACAATCAAAATTCTACTGTTTTATATTACTTAGTATACCACTCTAACAAAGCTAGCTTGTCTTAAAGATATAATGAAATAGTTGTCAATCTAATTGAAATATAGAAAACGTCCATTTTGCCTCCACTTAACCTTTGTGATCTTAAATGACCTTCAAGGTCAAAGTCGGTAATATCATCTTTCAACTTCTTTTTCCTCATCCTATAAGTAATTGATCTACCTGTTTCTACTAAATATTGCCATCAAATGTTTTTCTAGAGGCCTTTCTTATGCACGGTCAGTCAACCACCTAGCACAAGTTCAAGGGAGGGTATTTGTACTAGTATCTGATGAGGGCACACTTGAAACTGGCATTGCGCTCGTTTCAGTAATTTTACAGTTGATAAGTAACTAATCACGATATTCAACAGTTTCATCACTTCCAGTAATCATAGTTAATTCTGTCGATTCATATACCTAGATTTACTCGTAAAATAGACTTTTTTTTCTCGAACTTTTATGCCCATGCTGCTAATTTATCCTTTGAAGAACGCGACGTGCCATTTTTTCAAAATTTTGAATGGATTTATATACATTTTACTGACGTAACACAAAGTTTAAGTGGTCAAAACTGATAAGAAATAAAGAGTGTAAAACAAAATGTTAAATACCAGTTGAAATCGGTTAAGTTAAGTTTTAATCTAATAATAAAAAAGACTTCTTAAATCGATTAAGAAAAGTCTATGCTACAGATGCGTCGAGTTTTGATTCAAAAGTTTCTAAGTTTGTAAAGTTTTTAGTCTCTCCTACATTTTAATAATTACAGTGTTAATATAAACTAAAACAGTCTACTTAATGCATTCTTCTTTAAATTATCCATGTTCGGGTTGTTTAATCTAGTTTTTGCCTGATCGTGTTCATATTTAACTTTCGAAGTTTCCTCATTAGCGAAGACGTACAGGTATGTGTTTACTGAATTTTATCGTATGGCATTTTATAATAGCATTTGAATCATTATTGCTCCTTCCTAGCTACGCAGGTAACCGGGTTTACTGATTTATAATCTTCTTGTACAGTTAATTACGTGTTAGATTTTTAGTGTATGTTTTTTTTTCTTTTCCACGTAGCTTTCCGAGGTTTAGAACATGTAAATCTGTTTTAAAAATTGTATATTAAGTTAATGCAACAAGGTCTGATACTTTATGTTCATGAGCCGTTAAGGCGGCGTCTTTCTTATGAAGACTTTGCTGATTTGATTTGATAGTCGGGTTATATGGAATTTTGTTGTGAATAATCATTCAAAGATTGCAAGCGTTGTTAAGTTTTAGATTAATGGTGTTCATATAGGGTCATCATTCTTAATTATGTTCACTTGAATATACAGACACCTACAGAAGTGGGAGGATTGGAACTTGTTCAGCTCGGGTTGTTTTAAATATATTATAAGCTCAACTAAAAATAAAGAAACATTTGGGAAATAAAGATATTACGTTTCAACTCAAATAATACATGCTAAGTTTGTAAAATGAAAGTATAATTTTTTTTTAAAAAAAGGTGTTAATATCAGTAGTGAGTAGAAAGAATAAAATGTGTTGACATCAGTAAGTGAGTAGAAAGAATAAAAATGTGTTGACATCAGTAAGTGGGTGGAAAGAATAAAAAGGTGTTGACATCAGTAGTGAGTAGAAAGAATAAAAATGTGTTGACATCAGTAGTGAGTAGAAAGAATAAAAAGGTGTTGACATCAGTAAGTGGGTAGAAAGAATAAAAAGGTGTTGACCTCAGTAAGTGGGTGGAAAGAATAAAAAGGTGTTGACATCAGTAGTGAGTAGAAAGAATAAAAATGTGTTGACATCAGTAAGTGAGTAGAAAGAATAAAAATGTGTTGACATCAGTAAGTGAGTAGAAAGACTAAAACGGTGTTGACATCAGTAAGTGAGTAGAAAGAATAAAAATGTGTTGACATCAGTAAGTGGGTAGAAAGAATAAAAAGGTGTTGACATCAGTAAGTGAGTAGAAAGAATAAAAATGGTGTTGACATCAGTAAGTGAGTAGAAAGAATAAAAAGGTGTTGACATCAGTAGTGAGTAGAAAGAATAAACCAGAGAAAGACAACTGCAAAGTCATATGGTGCACAAGAAAACTCCTAAACAAATAAAATGACAAATATTAAAGTATTTTCGTGTGCTGATATTGAGAAGGGGAACAGAAAGATGATACAGGAATAAGCAAAGTTTCAGTTGAGAAGGTATACTTATTTGTTTAAGAACAAAGCCACATTAGGATATCTGCCATGTCCACCGCGGAGAATCATACCCCGGATTTTAGCATTGTAAGTTCGTAAAATTTCCGCTGTCCAACCGGGGAACTAGTTGAAAAGAACTAAGATAATAATGTAATTGAACTGAGGGAGACCAACTGATAACAATGTAGAGCAGAACAGGGAATAAAAGAACACAAATAAGTATAGTAATGAATAAACGTGGGGAAGAATGTTAAGAAGAAGGCTGCAGAAAATAATACAGAGAGATTCAAAACTGTTAGATGATGATGATAATAATAAGAACAAACTGATTTTTACAGGAAGTACAAAAGACACCAGATTACCTTACAAGAAGTACAATAGTTACCAGATTCTCTGATAGGTTTGAAAATAATTGTGCTAAAGAGATTAAGATGCAATGCAGAAATTACATAATTTCTGTCTTTGTATGGAGAAACTAATTAATGTACAATACATTAACACACACAAAAATATAACGATGTGATATGTAATAGAAGTTGCCACTTTTGTACGATACATTAACACAAAAATATAACGATGTGATATGTAATAGAAGTTGCCACTTTTGTACAATACATTAACACACAAAAATATAACGATGTGATATGTAATAGAAGTTGCCACTTTTGTACGATACATTAACACACAAAAATATAACGATGTGATATGTAATAGAAGTTGCCACTTTTGTACGATACATTAACACACAAAAATATAACGATGAGATATGTAATAGAAGTTGCCACTTATGTACAATGACTTTTTTATTTCATTTTGCAGGTGATGTTTCAGAAGCCACCGTAGAAGACAAGTACGTGTACCAATAACAGTATTTTTTGTTGTAGCTTTGACGTACCACTCTCATCTTCTTCTGAATAATTCATTTTTACGTCCTCTCAAGACTTTCCATGGCAGCGTTATAAGAAATGACATTTTATTACGGTTCTCTGGACACGATAACATTCGTGAAATTGCTAATGCTCACGGAATTCTAAACGTGGGGGGGGGGGGGTTCCTCCTAGTTATGGGCGAGAATGCGGTTACAGATGTTAGTGTAATAGTCGCTTAAGGCTAAATTGAACAGAAGTGGCTATTAAGGCTCTCCAAGAACCAGCACTACTGGTCTAAAAAGTATTCACTCTACAGTATACATACCATTGATAGATATGTTTTATGGTTTTTTTTTACATGAAAATAAACAAAGCGATCTCTAAGCTGTATGGAATTGTTGTTTTTAGAACACAAGTTCTCCAAAAAACTTTCTAGACTCTTCCTTTACGAATTATTCAGATAAGCCCTTATACACTCTTTTATGAGTAAAATAAGTTTATACTTCAGCGTTTTATTTTGTACTCTTGTAAAGTAGCTTTGTGCGGTTTGTAAACATAAATCAATGAGGATGAAGAATGTGATATCTCATTAAATTTATTTTTATCTTCCCAGTCTATACCCTGTCTTTTTTTTCTCTGTACCTTGATGCCCATTACTCTAGAGCGCAGGTGTTCTTTTCGTTATACAATCTCAATTTTTTTAGTATTTGCTATCATTTACTTGTTATTTCATTGTCAATTTTGGTGGCACACGTTTATCTGCCTGTCTGTATAAACATCATTTGGATGAACTATCGCCGCTGCAGTGGTGTTCTGTAAGTTTCACACGGAGTTTGTTTTTTATTCAATTTTGCATGTATTTTGCATTCTAGCTCGGGACGTAGAACTTTGCCACATAATTATAAAAACAAACGAATTTGTAACGAACCCGATATCGTGTAGTCATCAAGTAATTATTTTATCGATAATCATAAATGTAGCTGTCCAAGGATAAAAGTTCAAAGTTGAACCGAACTATGCATCGAACTGGTCAAATGTTTCTTCTTTATATAGCTTATCCATTAGATTTCTCATTGTTTTTATATATTATATTTATATAACGTATGCGTGTTTATCATATATAAAATAGAAACACATGCAAAGTTTTGTTTAATAAAGAAGCCTGGAATAAATACTGATATCATGTGAGGGTCTGAGCTAAAACAAACTACAGGCTAAATGTTAGTTAATTTTGTATATATTATGTTTACTATTTTTCGAATGCTAGTTCAAGACTTTTTTAATAATATGTGATATTAATACACAGGTACAGTGCGGTTTCCGAGGACTTGGGTACAAATAAGAACATGGACTCATCCAGTGACCCTGATCTGATTCCATTGCGGAACTTCCCGACGAGTAGGTAAAAGTTTAATTTCAATCATTTAAATTGTTTGGATACTAGGGGTATACGCATGCGTACTTTAAGTGGTCTGGTCAGAGTCAAACATAACACGATTCAGCAGTTCTTGGATCAATCATGAACTGGTAACTTTATAGTGAATGGAAAAAATTCAATCACAGTATACTGGCTTTTATACTGACAACATCCCAACTGTAATATGTTAATTCTCAAATATATTAAATAACAAATAAGTTAAATAAATACATTAAGTAATTTCAATTTATTATTTCCCAAAAGCGCAATTAGATTAATTTTTTAAATATTACAAAATTTCGGTAAACAAAGTTTAATAAATCACTATAGTGTGTAAGCAAGAAATCAGAGAAAAATTAATGATGTCATTAGAACCAACAGTGTATTTATCAGGGAAATTCAACTGGTAGTCTTACATTTCATTCAGTAAAGTTGCCACTTTCGGTCGCTGAGAGCTGTTGGATATCAGTTTTATGTACACAATTACTCGATGAGAGTGACTGTTCTTTTTTTTTCCATAAATTATTAGAAACAAAAATTATTTATGTGTGATCGTAAGAGTGAATGTTAAGCAATATTCAACAACTATTTTTAGAGAAAATATTGATGGAAACTTTGATCTTATACGGAAGTTTTAATGGAGATGTAATCAAATTTTTTTTTTAGGGGAAAGTGGTTAAAGTACAGAGTTAGAGGAAAACCCAACCATAAGTGATATATTGCTAGGGGATGAAAATAAACTTAATGATATATAGTCCAGAACTAAATGTCAATATCACTGTGTAAACAAATTGCATACACGCACACATGCGCGCGTGCGCACACACACACACACACACATATATATATATATAGAGAGAGAGAAAATTAATACTCAAACAGTCAAGGACTGCGTCAAAAACAACAAATCCAAACCTGTGATAAATGGTATCCAAATGAACAAAGCACCCCCAAAAAAAATTAAATTAAAAGGATCCCCAGAGGTGAGTGCGAAAGTAGGACCCACATTGCGGTGGGGATACACCATCTATCAGTCTAGCCTTCGTTTGTTTGTTTTTTATTTGGGCTTGTTTTTGTTCATTTATATATATATTTATACATATTAGTTTCATGTTTGGATTTAATTCTGAACTTTCGGTAAGGTGAGACGACGGGTTCTGTGCTCTATACAATTTAACTTGCTAAAAAAGATCTGAGTTAACACTGTAGATTAACAGCTAAGGATAAGCCTGTTTATGCAGCTGTCTTTATTGATAAGAAAAATTGCTATAACACTTCGTAAATCTATTGTTGAGAAAAGAGCTGTGTTCTCGTCTATTTATAAAGAATAGTATTTTGTTTTTAATTCTATGTAAGTTAATTGGTAAGAATGATTATATTATATTTTGTTTTTATTATTGAAAAGATTTGTGTTAATATTGTGTAGTTTAATGTGAAAAGGTTCAACGTTCATTGGAAAACCAATAACTTTATTATAACACAATTCGTTTGTTTGTTTTGAATTTCGCGCAAAACTAAACGAGCCGTCCCTAATTTAGCAGTGTAAGACTAGAGGGAAGGCAGCTAGTCATCACCACCCACCGCCAACACTTGGGATACTCTTTTCCCAACGAATAGTGG